GCTGTTGACTAGCAGAGGGGACAAGAGATGAGGCTGATGCCCTCACTACGCACAGAGATTCATGTAGCCTTATATAATCTCTTGTGTGTACAGTATGTAGACGTGTGTGAGTGTGTGTGTGTGTGTGTGTGAGTGTGTGTGAGTGTGTGTGTGTTTGTGTGTGTGTGTGAGGGTGGTGTGTGTGCGTGGTTGTGCTTTTACGTCATCTTTTCAAATATTCATCAAAACTCACTGCTTATAACGTGTGTTTGCTGGCAGAGGCAGTGTTTTAGTTATCCTGTGTCGAGTATACACTTTGTGTGTGAGTGTGTGCGTTACCATACAAAGTACCTGTCACTTTGTGTTATCTGTGTCTGTGCATGCAGGCTGGATGTGTGTCTTTTTGCATCGTGTCACTCTTTCTCTCTCGGTGCAGCTCACTCTGCTGTGCTCTGAATGTCAGACAAGCACAATTAAATCATTAAATAACGAATGACGAGTGTGTGACATTCAAATTCTAATCCAAGTTAGTGAAGTGAAATGATGAGTGCAGACGAGTAAACTGCAGGCCCATGTATATGATGATTAAAATNCCGATCCACTCTGTTACATTTTGTTGTTGGTGCAGTCTTGGTTTATATATTACACTCAACTCTATCTAATCTAGAATGGTGCAAATGTCAGATTTATGTCTTAATCCAAGAGGTTAAATTGCAAGAAATGCAGGATATTTGTTCTCAATTATATTTTTTCTAGGTGAGGACTTTTCAACTTTATTCAGAAAATATACCAGACATGCTAGCCTCTCCTTTTAATTACTGTCTATGAACCTCTGTAAAGACTGATGGTTTTCATCATAAATATTCAAAGTGTTATAGTAATTATAGTTATGTTACAGTAATTAACCTTGATTCAGGGTTTAGTCTATGCCGTGATTGGTCCTAGAATTTAAGGAGATTGGGACAGTTCTTGAAAATACCTTAATTTGATTGTTTAGGAAGGTGTGAGAATAATTTTTTAACACACACTGAACAGACAGAGAGCTCTACAAAATTGGCAATGAAGACATTTTCAAGACAGACATCAAACCACAAGCATATAGTGTAACTGGGTCATTGTAAAGATGTGGTGATAGATTAAAAAATTAGGCAGGGAACACTGTGTTTATTTTTATGACAGCCGGGGGCATGAAGTGTGATAGTTAGAGATATATTTCAGCTCAGCCTTCAGTCAGTGGGGTTGGACATCTTATCATATCTCAGGCAGAGTGCAGTTTGAAGAATGTCTCTCAGTTGCATCAGTACTGTCTGTACTGAATATGTTGCCAGCAAAGCTTGAGGAGATGATGAGGAATTTCTTAGATCAGCTAAGAAGTCATCTCAGCTAAGTCAAGATTGTAATTATAATAATATAAATAGTACTTCTTCTCAAAACACAGTTACAATACAAAGTGCTTTGCAACAGAGTGAAATGAAATCCACAGCAAAAGCAGAAAAAAACAAGGTAAGGGATATAAAAACCAAGGCCAGAAACATAAAAGCAAAGCATCAAAGCGAGGCTAGAAAATATTTTTACATGAAAGGAAGTCTGCTAAAGGATGTGTAGGCCTGTAGCTGCAGGGCTGTGACAGAAAATCCACCAAAATCCATTTACTCACTGTTTTTATTAAAAATTTAGCACCTTTTTCATTCGGATCATAATTGCTTGAGTGCAGTTATTAAAACAAACCTGATTTGGATTCAAATTGCAAGTTGTTTGTATTATGACTTCATCCGTCTCTGACATTAACACCATCCAGGGCTGTAGGGGGGTAATCGCCTGTAAATGCTTTTTAAATACAAAACAGCTTAATGCAACTTTTAAGGTGGTTTACTCACATGTTTTTGGACGATTTTTAAAAGTTTGAGTCAGATTAAACACCATTGTTTACTGATTATTAAATGACAGAATAGATGTTCAGATAGAAGTTCAGAACACAACTTCACCTCGCCCCCGGCCCTTCTCACTGTTAAGCCACTTTGATTTAGGCTAGCTATCTGAATCATATGCTAACAATTACATTTCAAACTTAATTTGCAATGATGCTGGCTGGGCATGAAGTTAAAACTTTTTACAATAAATTGCGCTTTGTGTACAGACAGAGAGGCAGCAGGCAAATAGAGAGGGGCAGGAGGAGAAGGAGTGAGCTAGAGGAAGGTTTGTAACTGCAGTAGGCTAGCTAGCTTCATCCTGCAATTCAAATGTAAGCTGGAATAAAAAGGTTTTGCTTTAAAAATACATCTTTAATACCCAGCCCTAGAATCTATTGTAAATATCAATAATCCATCTTTTTACTGTCATAATAATTCCCAGACAAAAATAACACACTGGCATGTTGGCATTTCACACATTTCATTTTGTGGGTGAGTGGGTAAGTGTGAGTGAGTGAAAGAGAGATGGGGAGGGAGAGGTAAACATGCACAACATGCACAACATCTCACCTCTGTGTACATTCCCTCATGTGTGTAAAATGTCACCTGCAGAGATGTCAGATGATCAGGGATCCAACACAACAACGTATCCACAGCTACTACACACACACGGAAATGTCAGTGGGCAGGAATCCTCTGAGGTTATTTCATTGTGTTGAAGGCTGATGGTGAGAATAATAAATATTTCATAATGAAAATGTCATTGTGAAGTAAAAGCCCTACAGGTATTTGAATGACCACAAACTGCTACTAGATGTCCTGATCAGAAAGTGAGCCAGCAGCACAAACTAACTCAGCCTGTCAGTATAACAAGAATTATTGTCATTTGTTTGAACATACAACAGAAAGAAATGAATCCAAACTGATTGGCTTCCCTCTGTGGAAAATGTGTGTCTCCTCCTCTCCTCTCGCTCGAACTATTCTTGGAGGCGAAGGTTTCTCCAAAGCTCGACCAGCCACTTCCTGTCTCAAGAAACACTCTTCCTGTTGTTTTTGTAACTGGCTTGGATCGGGGTCGGGGTCGGGGTCTTTTTTATCCGTGTCAGCGTGCAGTTGATGTTTTCACCCCGTTCATTCTTTGATCATACTCCAGAAGTGAGATGACAACATAATATCTATGATCCATCGTCCGTAGTGTCCACTGTGTTTTGTCCCTTCTGGTTTTAAACTACCTCTCACCTCTTAAAGGTCCAGTGTGTAAGATTTAGGTGAAAGGGAACTATTGGCAACTATTGTAGAATAATCCTCATGATGTTTTCACTAGTTTGTTTCATCTAAATTGTATGAGTTGTAGTTTTCTTTACCCCAAAAAATGCCCTTTATATTTAAATACTTTATATGTACATGGAGGGGGTTCTCTCTACGGAGGCCGCCATGTTTTTGACATTAGTCCAGACTGAACAAACTAAACACCTTTTGAGTTTTTATGACAACTGAAGCTACCACAGGTTCTTTTTCATGTTTGGAAGGAGAGGGTGAGGTGAGGGGTGTTCAGCTGCAACATGCAACTTCAACACTAGATATCACTAAATTCTACACACTGTACTTTTAAGCTCCACTAATAAATATTTGTATTGTAATAATGTTTAAACTGACTGCTTTGCATGATCATATTTACAGTTTGTTCGATGTTACTCTTGAATCAGACGACTCGACACAGTATCGACATTTTAAAGCAGAACGTTTGTTAAAAGATGTTTCTCTCTTGTGCCTCACCTCACATCACTGAAACACATTGCATTGCACTCATTTCAGAGGGCTGTCACTGTTTTTAAACACACATCATGGATTGTACATGCATCACACATCTCATCCTCTCACTATCTATAAACAAAGCCAAAATATCCCAGAAATGAATGCTGCCGTCTTGTGCCTATGACGACGACTGTGGCACATGCTGTGTGTCAGTCTCAGCTGTCAATCATTGTGATTAGAACTGTTTATTTATGACAGAAATAAGCACTTCCACTTACATTGCGGAGGTGTGGTTTATGATTGATGCTCCAGTCAGCCACCAGGTGGTGATTGAGACGCTCTGGCTTCACTTTTGGGGAGTAATCATGTTGTCCATCATGACTTGAGTCAGTCGGAGCTGTCAATGGTGACCTGTCGCCCATTTATGTTAAAAAAAACTTATTAAGAGCAAACTAAACAGACTAATATACAATTGGACATCAGTGTGATAGGAACTACCTGAAATGATAGAAACCATCTTTACTTTGACATTTTAGTTCGGTTCATGTCCCATCAAATAACATGGAGTATATTGCAGCTAGCCACCAGGGGGTGATTCAGATGATTTGGTTTCTTCTGAGTTGCCATGTCATCCATCTTTATATACAGTTCATGAGCTCAGTTCAACCTCAGTCCTCAGAATATTGTAGACTGATTATCCACTTGTTTTTTTATCCAGACACATCAGCATGTTCCCATGATTTGTGGTTAGTCTGCTGACAGTCTGTTGACAGTGAAAACAATGACAGAGAATACCAGCTCAGATGGTACCGATATAGCTGGAATGCAGAGATAACTGTCGAAAGCTTAATTATGAACATCCGTAATAAATTCAAACATTGTGTGGGTTAGCAGTGTTAGCCGCTGTGTTGACTCTCACTCTCTGTGAAGCTCCCTTTGTCTATTGTTCATCAAATGTTCCAGATGAGTGTTTATGAGCCCTAATATGTTCCTGTTGTTCCATGACTGGTATTTATAGATTATGTATTTTTAACTCTGCCATTGTTGGCTGGAGGTAATAAATGTGATTAAAAGTGATTATAGCGCTTCCTCTTTGGAGAGAGGAAGTCTCTGAGAGATTCCTGGCATTGGTGAAATTCTGCTCAGGTCGGATTTGGAAAGAGTCCTCAGTGAATGGACCACATACACCCACTTCCACCCACACACACTTCCCTTAAATGTGTTCAGCCATGGGTGAATAAACAATCTCACACAATGATACTGGAGATATTCCTGAGGATTCATATGGTAATGTTCTGTTTCATTTCAAAGAGGGAAAGGAAAGAAAAGTGTTGAAACATTTTCTCTCCTCAACAGGCTAAAGGGCGGAGAGATGGTATGGTGTCTTCCAATGAGAACAGGCGCCGGCCGCTGTCATCGGGTGAGGTGGAGGGTGTGTCGTGGCAGGGCCCGCGGACCATTTTCCTGCAGAAGAACTCACAGGGATTCGGCTTCACTCTGCGCCACTTCATCGTCTACCCGCCAGAGTCGTCCCTCCACAGCCTCAAGGTCAGTCACTTTGGCCCGAGCCTTTTATATCTCAAGAAATGTCACTCACTTCTGCCATTTACTACTCAGTAATTCTTATTATAACAGATGAGTACTCTCTATTATTACCTTAATACTCTGCACTCGTGGGTTTGATCACACCCACCTTTGAACTACATTTTTCATCTTTGATCCCAAACCTGATAACATCTGACAGAGAACGACACACAGACAGACAGACAGACAGACAGACAGACAGACAGACAGACAGACAGACAGAGTACTGTCAACCACCTCTAGGGCTGTTCCAACTAGTTATGTTGTAAATAAGTGTCTCCAGAAGCACATTTTACCAAGAAATCACATGCGGCTAAAAATAAAAGTCAAAATTAGCTTCTCAGCTGCAGTGTGAAGCTTTGATGGTTCCAGACCTAATCCTGTATATCTGATCATTACAGTGAACACAGAGGTCGAGCGATTTCTGGTTAAATAGTTTGGACCTGGAAGATGAAGCAACTTTCCCTCTAGGCTGTCAGTTTGCTAACTATGGACAGGGTAAAAAGAAAGTTAAGATTGGATTGGAAATTTACCATCAAACTTATTTTCATAAAAATGGGTCACACTGGGTCATGTTTTATAATTATTAGAACTGGTCTCTGAACCCTTGCATGACAGCATGTTGCTGACCAGTTCCACACGACATCTGGAGGCTGATAGATCTGTTTTATCCAAAAAGGGCTTGAATAGACATAATCATGTTTCTTGTGGGGTGGAATGGTAGAAAAGTGGTTAACACTTGCCTCACCAAGTGCAGGTTTTCTCCAAATTCCTCTCACAGTCCAAAGACATGCAGCTCAGGTTAATTCCTTTTATATGTAATCAGCCTGTCTGTGGTCTGTGTATATGGTATATAAAGGCCTATAACACATAAGGAAAAAATATTTCCATGTCAAACAGTAAATCTGAAGATTGGGCTTGACTGTAAGAGTTAGTTCATTTAGTCTATGAGTCATCTGCTCCGCACACTTATGACTGATGTAGTACTCTGGTACTATAGTACTGTAGGGCTGTAGTACTGTAGTGTTGTAGTACTGTAGTGAGTTAGTACTGTAGGGCTGTAGTACTGTAGTGTTGTAGTACTGTAGTGAGTTAGTACTGTAGGGCTGTAGTACTGTAGTGTTGTAGTGAGTAGGACTGTAGTAGTGAATTATTGTAAGACTCTAGTTCTGTGGTGCTGTTGGACTGTAGTACTGTACTGTAACACTGTAGAACTGTAGTTCTGTAGTAGAGTAATACTCTGTCAGCGACCTGGACAGAGGAAGCACAGAGAGAAAGCTGATAAGGCAGACAGACAGTTTTTATGAAATCGTTTTTGGGACAATTACACACTGAGTCAGGTTCTGAGGTGTTTCTTTTGTCAGTGAGACAGTCAATGAGACAGACAGATTCAGTCAGTCCTGGGTTGCGTGTAGTGCGCGAGCTTAGCAGCGCCTCCCTGTGGTCCTTGTCTTTAACATCTTCACTGTGTTTCTCCAACAGGATGAAGAGAATGGAAATGCGTCTGGATCAGGTGACTGTCTCTCGCTTCTATTGACTTAATTAGCTACACATTCAGGATTGGATTATGTTGTGCATGTTATTTACACGGTCAGCAGAGAGTGTCAGATAGCCTCCATTTTGTAGTTTTTATTGAAATTTCAGCAGTTCGGTAAAGAACCTTAAAGGGCACAAAGCTCAGTTCTGACTGGCTTGTGTAAAAAAATTAAAGACTGGTATATGAACTGTATTAAATCAAACTGTCCTAGTCTTTTACAGTAGAAGTTACATTCACTCATTCACACACATTCATACAGCGTAATATATGCTGCGCTTCTTCTATCACACACTGCCAGGACACTGGTCAGGGACTATTTTTGGTGCAGTATCTTGCCCAAGGACACTTTGACATACGGACTGGTGGAGCAGGGGATCGGACCACCAACCTTCTGCGTTGTGGATGACCCACTCTGCCCTCCAGAAACTGAAAATGTGCAAATTCGAACTGTAAATCGTAAATGATCAACATCAACACTTAAAAAATCACTATATAATATTCACTTCAAAAACGTAACCGTAGCGCAACAAATTAGTGTGAGCTTCTGTTCCAGTGTTGGAAAAAATGATTGCAGTGTAGAAAGAACAGCACAAGTGTGTTCAGCTGCTGGATAACTCAAGCATTTAAATTACGGTTAGTTCAACAAGAAGATTCAATTCAATAAGTAATTATTTACTCTAAGATTAATATTTAGTTTCAGAAACACAGACTTTACACTATGCAAAGCTGAGTATCACTGGAAGAATCAGGGAATTTACATTCCTTATTAGGATCCATTGTGTTCTGCTTCTAAATGAATTTGGATTCTGAATTTGTGTGTCGTGTGTAAGCAGGTCGCCGGTGGTCTCATTTGGAGCCGATGGACACCATCTTTGTGAAGAGTGTCAAAGAAAATGGCCCTGCTCAACAAGCTGGACTGTGTACAGGTAAAATGCACGCACGCACACACACACACACACATGCAACAATGGGCCCTGTTAGAATGGACAGAATGCTTTTCGCATTCCTGTCTGCATAAGAGGAAAAGTAAATTTGTGGTTCTTGACATTATATTCTCTATGTTGTCCAGAAAACCTGATATCCCCATGGTTCAGGAAAAGGGCTCGATATTTCTTTATATTACCTGTGGAGTTTCCTGACATTAGAGCTTATACATACATAGGTTATGTGGTAGCTATGTGGTAAAGCTCTGTTGTGGGAACCCGTCAGAACCTGAATTCACCACTACCTTCCAGCTACACTGATGATACAGCTGTGTATCAGTGTAGCAAGTGTAGAGAATAAACAGTGAAGGGCCAAAATTGAACCTTGAGGATCACCACCATTTAATTTAAAGTTGAACCATCCATGAGGACATTTTCTTGAAGCAATCAAAAATAGTACAAGAGGCCAGACAGACAATGAAATCTCTCTAAAACTACGTGGATGTAGGTTTCGATATGATGCACTTGTTATGCTTAGCCCCAAACCTCTAAAAACAGTGGGAGCATAAAAGGTAGGAAAATCATATCCAGAATTAGAATTGGTTGTCAGCAATGTGAGTTGTAAACAGATGGGCGTTGAATAAATTATAATGTCCATCCTCAAAGATTGATGATCTTTGCCTTAAAAAAATACTTTGTTCTCCTCCATATTTGTCTGTGTATAAAAAAAAAAAGATTGAATCTACTTTTGTATTTACAGGTAATATTTTTTCTAATAAAGCACGAAAGAAAAATACACAGCATTGTAAGAGCTGTCAAGGAATAGGGTGCATGAGGAAAGTGTCCTTTCATACATAACATCTTGCTGTATTGTGTGTGTGTGCTCCAGGGGACAGGCTGGTGAAGGTAAATGGGGAAAGCATTCTTGGGAAAACCTACTCTCAGGTGATCGCACTCATCCAGAACAGGTGGGACACTGATGTTTCTAAATCCAACTGTAAGGTCACAGCCGATCTCTTGTTTCTATGCTGACGTGCATTGATTTGTTTTGCACAGTGAAAACATTCTGGAGCTCTGTATTATGCCAAAAGATGAGGATGTGTTGCAGTTGGTAAGTGTGAGTATGATCTTTCTTCTGTTTTCTCTTCTTTCCTTCATTTCTCCTTTGTACCATGTAAAGCAGTCAGCCAGGTGTTTTACGCAAAAGCATGGATTGCATGACAGCTTTAATTCATCTATTCAATTATTGAAGCTAAACCTCCTTAAAAAACTGTACTATCATCAGTGGGAATAACATAAAAGGAGTTTGAACAGATGGAATGCATTAAAGAAGGAGATATAACAACCAACACATTATGAACACCTGCTTTTTATATGACATTTAAATTAAGATTTATTCAAATTATTTTATACACGTGCAAAGAATTAATGAATGCAAATGTTTAGACTGGTCATCTTAAATAGTTAAATATTGTGATTGACCTTTGACAGGACAAGGTTGTGACTATATCTCCCTACTTGTCCATAACATCACATGTGCAAAGACAAACTCTGACATGTTCCTTTATTACTACACACTGTAATTGTTTGAGACTCCACACACACTGTCCTGCTTGTTCGCTTACTGAAACAGATTTGATTGAACAAATTTATTTTGCAAGACTTTGATGTGATTTCACTTTTTTTTTAACACCATTTAAATAAATCTATACCTTCACTAAGGTAAAGAAATACATTAACATGAAAATAAAAGGCAGTGGAAGGTGATAGAAGATAAGAAATGTTATTATAAATGTACAGTAATCACTTTGTTAAAGGTAATAAAGTTCTTATATTGGTTGTACAATAAAGATTAAGCTTATATAGGGAAAAAACGAAGAAATATCGCTGCATGGTGCACGCTGTAGCTGCCTCACTCTGCCCTCTAGCTGTTCCTGACACATTTTTTGTTTCGTCCTGTCTGTCATGTTTTACATTGTGCCCTAACCCCTCCTGTCCTCAGGCGTACTCCCAGGATGCCTACCTGAGAGGCAACGATCCATATTCAGGTGAAGCCCAGAACCTCCCAGAGCCCCCACCTCCTTCTTACCCATCCACTAAACCTGGCTCCATGGTCTCTGAGCCTAGCAACACTCTCCTGGACAACTGGCAGTGCCGATCTGGCCCCACCACCTCGCCACTGGATAACCAACCCCCCGCTGCCTCTACGCCCACCTCCGGCTGGTCCGGGGGTCCTGAGGATTCAAGTGGCCACTTTACCCTCTCGGGGCGGCACCGTGGCGGCTGCTCTTCAGCCATCAGTGCGCTGGACTTTCACTTTGCTAACCACAATGCTGCCATTGCCTCCGCAACACTGCCTCCGCCAAGGAAGAGCAGCCTACCAGCCTCTGCCCGTGCCCACACTGACGCCCTCTGCCACCAGGCTCTGTCTGAGTGGTACTACAGCCAGGCCGAGGCGGCAGAGCGCATGTCCCCGCGCCACCGCAGTATCTCTCAGGATCGTTTAGTGGAGCTGGGGCTGGGGTTGGCACTTGGCCCTGGGCCTTCGACTGTCCCCAAAATGTCTGCAGAGCAACGCAGAAGAGAAACCCTCCTGCAACACCACCAGGCAGCTGCTGCTTCCCATGATTCCTTTTGGCTAGGTAGCTGGGGTGGTGCATCAGGACCAGGAAGCAGGTCGTGCTCAGAGGGCCTTTTGGCAGCCTACGCCGAATACGAGCATAACTATGGGCGTTCTGTTGAAACGCTGGCACAAGCCTCTGCACTGGTCTTACCACACCATGAACACCTTTCACAAAGCCCCCAGAAGACAAAACTCAGCGAGCAGGTAGACCTTAAAATCTCAGAAGGGCATCAGCACCAAACTATAGTTGCAGCCCCCACTACAACCCCCTCAGCAGTGCCTCCTAGTGATAGGCAGTCAGGTCAGCAGGTAGCCGAACCCCAAACAAGACGAGTAAAAGAGGAAGAGCCGGTGGGCTACAGAAGCTACAGTCCTTCTTTCTCCCATAAAACTGGCCATCCCCTCCAGCAGGCCCACTCCTTTAAAGAGCCCAGCTACAGTGGCCCCCGCCTCAACTTGAGCCCCAGCAGCAGGAGCATCCCTGCAGACAGCAGGGGGCTGATGGTACCCAGGCCCAAGTCCACACCTGCCCTGTCTGCGTCAGAGGAGGAGAGAGTCCGGCTTGGGGTGGACAGGAAGGTCATTTCTCCCAACTCTCTGAATCAAGAGGTGGTACTTCGGCAGAAGAAGCCTCCTTTAGGCCGTCGGACCCCTATTCAGCCTCTTCGACATCCCCACTACACAACACATGTGGATTCACCAGAGCCCCTTGGATCAATGCCTTCACCAGGGACCCCCTCTCCTGTGTCTGGGGGACCTGCCCCTAACCGTAGGACCAATGGAAGCCTGGCGCGGCATGCATATGACTCTCTGTCCTCCATTCCCTTCATAGGTTAGTGATATTTCCTTTTATGCTACAAGTGGTGTGAAATGTCTCTTACAAATTAACACATTTTGAGATGTTGGGATGTTTGTTTTATATGTCAACATAATGATTGTACTCTCTGTTCATTTACTCTCTGTTCATTTAGTATTCATCTGTATTTGTTTTTGACTGAGTTGATGAATGCCGGTCTATTTGTCTTTAAACCTTGTCCTGTCCATCATTTGTACACTGTCTTATATCTGAAAGCTTTTTCTCAAAATCAGAGCTGCTCTGGAGGCAGAAAGAATCTCACAGGCTCTCATAGGTGAATTGTTGGACCATAATTGCTACTAACAGAAAGTATTCAGGCTAGTTTAAAATGAAAGTTAGCTTTTATTATTTGGGTATGAATGGCACTTTTTAAAATGTAATTCTTTTTTTCTGCAGAGAGGTTGTGCTGCTATAAAGTGTAGCCACTCACCCCTCGGTAATAAAGTGAATATTAGCAAACCTTTTAGCAATGTTACTGACATTACTGAGATAGTTCACTGGAGAGAAATGCACTTCTGAGGTTCCCAAACGAGACACTCTCCTCCTCCATCGATCATTTTTGGCCTTACATGGTGTTGTTATGGCTCGCACAGAAGACTAGTAACAAATCACTTAGATTCAGATCCTCCCATTCAACCCATACAGTTTCCTTGTATTGTTGCCAACTTGAGCTCTGTCTCCCAAAAGAAGTGCTTCCTGGGAGCTCCCCCCTTGACTCCCACCCAGATTGCTGGTACATTGAAACAGTACGCTTATGTCTGAAAAAGGAGATAAACCACAAACCTAAAAGCTCCTGTAAAAGGATTTTATTTGCAGTTTTGATGTGTCAAGCAAAAGGTTCTTTCTCTGACTCAGTGTCAAACTTCCTCTGACCGAGTCTGAGGAAGAAGAGCCTTGTGCTTTTTAAAAAAACATTAATATTTTGTTAATCCACCATCCATTAAAATTATTTTATAGGTGTCCACGTCCCAATATTTGTTTAGCACAAACAACAGTCAGAGCCTTCCTCTCAGCAACCCAAGGTTGCAAACAGCAGTGCTCAGCCCAGTGATTATTTCATCATCCTATCCAGAAGTTTGGTTCCACAACCAGTTCTGTGCATGGCTGTGAGGTGTTGTTAATTGTTCCTTCTCACCCCCCCACACCAACTCTGGGTTTTTCACCAACACCGGAGATATATCCCCAGAATCAGCCTATGATGCCAGGCACACAATCCGGAGGCTACTGACTGTAATACTGGATTTTATTTTTACATAGTTTCTTTGGATGGATGGTTGGCTGGTAGGTTGGTTGGTAGTCGTGTATCTGCCTCCACAGTAGCTCTGCCTCAGGGAGATGTTCCCACCTGAGGAAACTGCTGTCTTGTCAGTGTCTAACCCCTTGTGTCTCCCTCCCTGTTGCTCACATGTGATGATGACTTTGCAGATGAACCCACCAGTCCTAGTACTGACCTACAGGCCTGCTATGTACCAGCCTGCTCTGTGGTGTCCGGTTCGCAGGCCTCCACTGTGGCCATCCTCACTTCCACCTCTGTCTCCCCCACCCTCTCCTCCATCTCCTCCTTTGTCCGACTTCATTGTCAGGACTGCAGTGAGTCTCACTCACCCTCTGTGAATACTGGAAGGCTTTAGAGAGGGCTAGACCAATAGAGAGTTTGCTTCCTATTGTGTTTTTGAGCCAACATGACAAACAGTTATGTAATGATCGTGGCCTATATTTGTCTGGCTTTTCCCCTTTGATTCAATTTCTGCTAGTAGTTCCCTTTCAGCTCAATCTTACACACTGAACCTTCAATAATTAGTGTACATTTCTAAGAAAGAAATTCATTTTGGTATTTCAGATGGCTTTAAATACTACATTACCCATGAGTTTTAGGTTCCATTGCTGTACAGATGAAGCCAGTGATGCAAATCAGTGCAGGAACTAATTCAGAATGCTTTGTTGCTGCAGTTGATAACAAATCAACCTTTGTTTCATAGTGATATAATTTCAAATGAATCAGCAAATCATATTCTTTATCTTATGTACACTGTGTCTGATAGCTTTAAGCTGTTCCTTGGGTCATAGTTGACTTGTCTTATTACATCACCATCAAAATAATTTGATGGCATGGTATGAATATTTCAGTTTGTCTTGCCACACTGGGAGAATTGTATCCCATCTTATCTTCATTTTCATTTGAGACTTTAAACTGGCATTAACTTGCATAGCGTAAATGCATCCAAAACTTAGGTACTAGGTAGTCAGCTGTTCTTTTTAATGTGTACAACACACGTCTAACCCTTTAATCCACCCCCCTCTCTATTGTTATATCCATTTAACACTCATCTTCTTCTCGTTTCTCATGTCACCGCCATAGATTCCATATTTAAACCCTCTTCGTCATACTCCTCTCCTCTCTTGTCTGACTTGTCTTTCATCCCTCTTCAGGCAGCATTAAGGGTCGTCGCTCCTCTTACCTACTGGCCATCACCACCGAGAGATCCAAGTCCTGTGACGAGGGGCTGAACACCTTCAGGGAAGAGGGGCGAGTCTTCTCGTAAGTCAGGAACTCAGACAAGCTGTATTAATAATGAATAGGTCCATAGTTTATAGTCTTAGAGATTACATCACACTGTCCACACTCAGTGTTGTAATTTCTTTTCTTTCTGCTCCACAGCAAACTACCAAAAAGGGTCAAGAGCTTTTTCACTGATGGGGTGAGTTGTTGTAAGGAGCACATATACAGCATGCAACAAAACTGACAGCAGCCCTAATCAGTGTCAATGAATTGTTAATTGTAAAGTCCTGTCCATTTCAAAGACCAGGAGAAGTTCAATAAATCTGAGGAACAGAAATGTTTGACTCATTAAACTATGATAAAATGTCCATATTAAAGAACCAACTGCGACAACAGTAAGTAAACTTTTATTTTTGATGGCATGTAAGCTTGATCTGTCCCTGGATGATAGCAGTCTGACACAAAACCCACAAAATCCTCCTCTGCTGCAGCTGTGTTTCACTTCAGGCTCTTTCACAGTCTGCTTTCTGTCTAGTTCAGTCACTTCCTCATGATGAGGAGCCTCGTTCCATCAGACACAACCTAGGACAGATGTGAGGAAGCTGGGGTGTTCACATGTTCTTTTATAACACTGTTCATGAAATGTGCCTCAACAGGAAATCATAGGTGTGATTACTTTTGTTGCTATGAATACAGGTAAACTGACTTTTGTTGCATATAGGTCCAATCAGGAATTAAATCTGATTAATAAATTATATACAGCATATGGGTGTTCTCAGTTTTGTCGCATACTGTTCATGTATTTTCTGTTTCTATTCCGTTCATTTTCCAGCAACCAAGCAAACAGTGTCAGATGGTTATCCCTTAATATCCCGACTCTGTGTTTCAGTCTCTGGAGAGCCTGCGAGCTCAGGAGGAGGCCAGGTCCAAACGCCACTCCACTTCTGAACTGGGAACCATCACTTTCAGTGACGTGCGTAAGGAGGGCTGGCTACACTACAAACAGATCCTCACGGAGAAGGGGAAGGTACAACACACACACACACACACACACACACACACACACACACACTCACACACTCTCACACTCTCACACACACACACACACACACACACACACACACACACACACACTTTCACACACACAGCTGCAGCAAGCTGTTTGGACCTTCAATGAGCCAATTGCAGTTGTATATTAAGATTTCCAAACTGGCAACAGTTGAACCAGTTGAAATGCATGTTAGTATTGATTACTAAGCAATGGATCCTTCATGTCAGACAGAGACAGATAAAATCAAACATTTTAAACGAGTGACTGTACGTCATCCATTTTATTTGTATGACCCATATTCACAAATCACAATTTGTCTCATATGGCCGAACAAGGTGCACCCTCCTGTGTTCTTAACCCTCAACAAGAGTGAGGAAAAAAGTAGAACCCCCAGAGAGAGGGATCCCTCTCCCAGGACAGACAGAAGTGTGATAGATGCCACAAGTAACAGAGCAGTGTTGCCATGTGGACAAATCCAAACCATGACAGATTTTCCATGTCAGGTTAAATTTGATGCTATTGCTATGATTGGACAGCTGCTGTTTGGGTGAGGGATGTAGAGAAGAGTTAATAAGGAGCTGCCTCATATAGATATTTGATCCCACAATTCACTCCAGTTTTTCTTTCTGTCTCCTCTCATTGTAGAAAGTTGGTGGTGGCATGCGGCCATGGAAACGCGTCTTCTCCGTGCTCCGTTCCAATTTGCTCTTCCTCTACAAGGACAAGCGAGAGGCGGTCCTTCACGGGGCGGGGGCGGGGCCCAGCCAGGACGAGCACCCCCCGGTCAGCATCCGCGGCTGCCTGATCGACATCGCCTACAGCGAAACCAAGCGTAAGCACACCCTGCGGCTCACCACGCAAGACTTCTGTGAGTACCTGCTGCAGGCCGAGGACAGGGACGACATGCTGGCCTGGATCAGGGTGATCAGGGAGAACAGCAAGACCGACAACGAGGTAAGATCTTTACAACGAGTTAGTCTTGTACAGTTGACACGAACTTAAACTAACTCCTACTTCTCATTTATCCTAGGAGATTGGTTTCTCAAGACAAGCTCTTATCAACAAGAAGCTGAATGATTACAGAAAACACAGGTCAGCATTGGGGATCAACAATAATTTAATGTTTCTAAAATCAAAGAAAGCCTACTTTGTACAACTGAGTTCATCTCGAGACACTATTGAAAGTATTAAGACCTGAAGAAGAACACACACTTAACGTGTTCAAAGAATAACCTCTAATTACAACACATTTGATTTTCAGCCATCTTTGTTTCTCTCTCTTGCTGCAGTCTGACAGGTAGCAAGCCAGATTCCTCCCCCAGAGTCCACCGGATGATGCCTCCCTTCCTCCTGGCTAAGACTGACAACACCTTAGTGAACCGCACCTCCAGAGCAGGTGGGTACAGACTTGGCTCTGCTCCGTGTTCGCCATCGTACCACACACTGCTACCTGCTGGCTAAAAGCAACAAACGTACCACTCACAGATTAGTGTGGCTTTTTATTAGATTAGATATACTTTATTCATCCCACAACGGGGAAATGTACATGTTACAGCAGCAGAAAGAAAGTGTAGTATACACTACAGAAATTAAAATGGAAAAGGCAATGAAACAAAGAAAAACAGACAGAAATTTCTGTAACCTACACAATGAAAAAGAAAACAATTGACCTGCAAACGAGTTGTTGTATTGAGCACATATACAGCATGCAACAAAACTGAGAGCAGGCCTAATGAGTGTCACTGAAATGATTATTACAAATCCTGTCTGAGTTGTTATTTAATTTGAACCAAAGTCCAGTAGAAGGTCAACAGCAACAGAAATATTTCACTCATAACATTTCTATTTAAAGAACCAACTGCAACAAAAGTCAGTTAACCTTTTGAGTTTTTTTTTTAAATACTTTTATTTTTGATGGCACATTAGCTTGTCCTGTCCATGGATGATACCAGTCTGTACCAGTTCCACTGCTCCTTCTATTGTTGGTAGTTGTTGGTCATATGACTCTTCCTGCTCCTCCTAACCACTGCTGCAGCTGTGTTTCACTTCAGGCTCTTTCACAGTCTGCTTTCTGTCTAGTTCAGTCACTTCCTCATGATGAGGAGCCTCGTTCCATCAGAC